GACAGACCGATAGGTAGATAGATAGTCAACAGTTTCTCAGCACAACAAACTCTTTACATATTTTTTAAATAAGTAGTACCCCTTATTTTATTTGAAGACGAGCCTTTTCTCATTAAGAAAGTATGCCTTTGAAAGGGCTCTTACCTCACTGAAACAGCTGGGTCCCAACATGATGGAGTCTTGAATGACAAAAGACTTTTAACAAAGTAAAAAATGAAGCCAGAATCCCCCTCCATCTCAGTGAAATCCCACCAGCAGCACATTCTCCTGAAGGGAAATACATTTGCATTTCCGTAAGGACTCGATAGTCATCCAGCCGACACAATGATGAAGCGTTTATCTGCAAATGGAGAGGGAATGGAGAAGCGAAACATATAACATGACGGGAGGAATGAGACTCTTTAAACTTACACAGAGGGACTGTCTGCGTGACAAAATTGTGATAAGGGGAATACGTGGAGAAACTGGAGTATAGATTTCAACCATTTCCGTGTAAAATAACAATGGGTCAAATAATTAGTGAAATAAGATTTCACAGTCGACGATGGGGACCGATGTTTGATACAAACACAACGCAAGGAAGAAAATAATCCATATTTAAACGTTTTGTGAGGAAATCAAGAGCGCGAACAACGCGTCGAACAAAACCACGTGCACGCGCGAGCGCAGCCACAAAAGATAAAGAAACCACTGGAAAGCGCAAGTGCACAGGCCTTGACTTTTGTTCTATTATTAATATATAATAATAAATAATTATTATACACAGTTTAACAATATATATATACATATATATATATATGAGTTAATAATTATTTTAAATGAATAGGAATAAATTGGACTGTTGAAAATTAAAACATTGTTTGTTTTGAATGTTTATTATTGTTCTCAAGTAGCCTGTGCAGACCAGACAGTCATATTTTTCACTAGGTTAAAGCAATATTTTAAAGTGAAAGCTGACTTTCAGTTTTTAGTTTTGGAATCTGTAGGCTACTCACATCTTAACAGGGGTCTTAACAGTTCAGAGGGGGTGCTAAAAAAATAATTAAACTGAGTGAAAGTAATGAACGCCTATAAGCTTCAGCTATCTAAATAGCATGCAAATTCTGCCACCTTGTGTTTTTTTATGTACAGCAGCTTCGATAAAGACATTTAAATTTTTTTTCTGTGGTATTAAATTCATATGCCACTGTTATTGGTAATATAACTTCGAAAGCCAACTGCCAAATATGACACTTACAAATTAATACAATTTATGAACGCACGTAGAAAAGATAGAAAATACGGATTTTTTTTTCTTTTTTCATTGTTTTATTTTATTTTTATTTTTTTACACATCTATTTAGTCTTTTTTTTATGACCATCAAGTGTCAGCCACTATCAATGCCAACTGGCAGGAAAACATGGTAAATTCTAACCATTTTTTACAATAGATAAAGTGCCGACAATTCATACAACTATTTCCACACAGTGGCATAGTGGACGGGCGATAGATGCGTCGTATCATGTGTCGACGATAGCCAGAGATATTGTCAAAAGCATCAAAAATTGGCAATATGAAGAGGATTTAGCATTTCCAATTAATGTAGGCCTGTTACATTCTTCTTATTATTAGGCCTATTATTATTAGGTTACTTTTATTATTAAATTATCTATTATTATTAAATTACATGAAATTATTGCCCTGCAATAATTTCATAGCGCATCAAAGCATTTTAAGGATAATTAAAGTTTAGGCTATTAGCTTCCTCATTGAAAGTGTTTTTAAAAAGTTTTTTTTAAACAGGTCTATTAATATATACAATGAATTCTAGGCCTATAATTAAAATTATTAACACTGCAGTCATCAATGGAAATTAAGAGCAGCTTTATTTCGTGCACCGATTTTCAAAAACAACCTGTTTAACGAGAAATATGTTTCTTATGTTTTTCACTATAAGCAGGGCCGGATTTACCATAGGCATTCTAGGCACGTGCCTATGTTCGCTCATCCAGGGGGGCCCAAACACAATGAAGAGATATATAATATTTTTGTTATACTATGGGATATCTACAACAGTAAAAGAACCAAAACCCCAGAAGACATTGAGCAAATAAATATAACAAACAATAGGGTAAAAATTACAAACTATTTCCATGTCTTCAACCTTTTTTATGTACTGAAATCACGCTTTCTTTGTCCTGTTCTCTCTCACACACGCACACACATAGACACGCACTCGCGCACACACGCGGAGACGCGGACAGAAACGTGTCATCAGCGCTGCGGCTGCCCCGCGAATTTAACAATAAAAGAGTTCTGCAGCTGAAAAGGTACATGGTATTTCTCAGTAGCGAGGTTCTTGAAGCAGTTCAACTTAAAGATTTGCTATTAGTAGACGCTGCTGCTGAACACTGCTGAGAGACACACAGAAGCAACACGCAAGTATTCACACGCACTTAATATCTCTCTCCCTCTCTCTCTCTTGCTCTCTCTCTCTCTAATAACTGCGTTAGACTGCATTAATAACTGCATTAGCCTGCATATCAATGGCTCAAGCCTCTGTTATTAGCTCTAAAATGATGTTTTGGAATTGGCAACGGAAAGTTTGGGATGAGGTGCGTAAAAAAATTAGCTGGTTCAACACCCACGAGATTTCAGGACGGAAACATGTCAAATGTCTTGAAACGTATTATCTGAACGGTTTCCACTGATTAAGAAATATTTTTGTTTGATTGGGTGGCCTATAAAATTTTTTTTGCCTATGTCACGAAAAGAGGTAAATCCGGCCCAGACTAAGGGCCACAAGAGAAATATTAAGGGAATAATTTAAGACAGTTATATACAGTTATCAGCATATGTTGAAGTAGTTTTGTCTCGTTGTTTCAGAGAATATGCGCTGTTAGAAAGCTCCATCAGTTTTTTTCATTTCACTCTCTTTATAGTGAATTGACTGACGTTCACCGGCATAACTCTTGCGCACAGCTTGCGGTCAATTGTGTGTGT